AATCCTCCTACCTTCACCTCTCAAATAGCTGGGCTTTTTATTTTCTTCACAGTATCTTGAAGAACAGACATTTATACAGACATTTATAGAGCTGTTTATCTTTTTCTTTGATGACTTGTGGTTTTGAAAGAAATCAAATGTTCTTCTAAGCATTTTAGCTTGTATGTGTCTGTGTCCCAAGTTAATGTGGATGTATAGCATATGGTAAGGGTTGAGGTTTATTTCTTCTTATTTGGCTATACAGTTGTTCCAGCACCATTTGTTGAAGGAATTTCCCAATGAATTAGCAATGATTCTACTTCTCTATTCTGACTTGTTAATCTGTGTGTCCATTATAATCAACTACACTTTTAATTCCTGTAACTTTATAAGGTCTAACCAGTTTGAGAAAGCTTTCTTGTTTCTTTTTTAAAATCATTTTGGCTATTCTGGTCCTTTATATATCCACACATCCTTGAAATCAACTTCCATAACTTTCTGTGGGAATATGATTTGTATTGCTTTCAGTTTATAGGTCAATTTAAGAGATTTTCCTAATCTTCTAATTCAGAGGCTAGGAAACTTTTAAAGGATGAGATAATAAACATTTTATGATTTGTATATATAATCCAGGAACCTATGTAGACAACTGAATAAATGACATTTCTCAGGACTGCTTCATGCATTTTATATTACTTTACTTTTTTCCTATGCTTATACAGTTGTTCAGCTGTTTCTTTTTTTCTCTGTCATGCTTAAGCAGATGTGTCTTGTGAATCTGATTTCTTAATTATCTTTCCACTGGCTCTGAAACAGGTCCTAGGCTGTGTTCTCTCAATTGAGGGGGTGTGAGGGGGAGATAAGTGAGAAAACAATTAAGTGCTTGGTGGGCCCTTTGTTCTTGGAGTTTTGTTAACCATTTAAAGATTTTCACCACCTGACCAGAGGCTTGTATTTTATTCCAGCTCCAGGTCACTTCCCAGTTCCCAGTTTAGGGTAGTAATTCCTAGTTAATTTCCAGTCCCTCCTAGAGGACATGGCACATTTCTCTGTCATTTCATTTTCCACAGCTGCTACGTCTACTCTTTCTTCACCAAATGAGGGAAAATTAGGACATGTGCATTAGGACATTTGCTTTCCTCCAGTTACGGAACGTTAGTGGGGATTCTAAGGGTGATGTCGACTCCTTGATGATTAGAGTACCTTTGTTCTGATTCTTATCCCCCACCCCAGCCACGGTGCCTCTGGTTTAGAACACTTCTTGTTTGGCTTTTTGCCAAACAGTCTTTTAAAACACTCTTGTTAGCTTTTAAGGTTTCTACATGGTTTTTATTATGTACTGGGGGAGAGAAATTGCATAATTGTAGCTTGTGATCTTTTTTATTTGAAGGTCTGGAGATAGAGCCTGGGGCCTTGGAAATGCTACCCAAGTGCTGTGCCTCTGAGCTTTGCCTTCATGCCTGGGACTTGCTATCTCCTCCCAGACCTACCTTAACTGGTTTTTAATTCCCATTGTCTTTGCAAATAACAACTGCCAGTCTTTGTTAGATCTGTTCAGGTTTCCATTAGTCCATGGAATACTTGATTTCTCAGACAAAGTACAAGTTGGATTTTGTCAGGGTAACTAAAAGAAAGATTAAGGTGAAGGATTTGAGACTTTGATGGCACCAGACGAGGTCAAGGGGGCTTTGTTGGGGATTGTTGTTTATTGTGCACTGATTTTTACACCAACGCTTCATTATTTCTCACCCTCACTTTAGCTGAAGGGTATTGGAGGCTGCAGAGAACAGCCCCGGGCTCAGTCTCACCACTTGTGGTATCTGGCATCCAGAGGTGTTTATGTTGTTTAAAATGGCTTGCAGCATCTTTGTGCCTTAAAGAAAAATCAATTTCAGTAGAGGTTTTAAAATTGTATTTCAAAAATTGTATTTTTCTTTTTCTATTTTTTCTTGTTGGTCGTGGGGTCTGGACTCTGGGCCTGAGTGCTGTCCCTCAACTCTTCAGCTCAAGGCCAGCACTCTACCACTTGAGCCACAGCACCACTTCCAGCTTTTTCTGCTTATGTGGTACTGAGGAATCGAACCCAGAGCCTCATGCATGCAAGGCAAGCATTCTACCACTGAGCCACCTTCTCAGCCTAAAAATTGTATTTTTCTTCATGACTGATTGCCACATAGTTGAGGACAGGCTATATGTCCTAGTGCTGTGTCTAACATGGGTCATGTGATAGGAAGCTCTCTGCAGTTGTGGGTTTTTTTTTCTATGAGGAGAAATTGTTACATGCTGATTATATTAATATTCAATAATTCCTGAAGAGAATAAAGAAGAAAAGGTCAATTATGATCTCACTAACTCTAGGAATAATTGTGACAAGATTTTTAAGCCATGATTTTAAGATTTAAGATATTTATTTCCAGCTTAATTTAATATTCATATTTTTGCATTGCTATACTTTATGTAGTTTTATATCTTTGTTTTTATATAGTGCTTCTTAATAGTGGTATTACTGAGTTTCAGGCAGGATACTTTCTTCTTGTGGGGACTACCTTGTGCATTATAGGATTTTTAGTAGCATCCTTGGCCTCTAGGTGCTCAGTATCAGTAATAACCATCTACTACCAAGTTGTGACAATCAAAGGTGAGTCTAGACTGAATGTCCTTTTGAAGGCAAAATCACCCCAGGTTGAGAACACTATTATATACTTAACATGAGGAAGATATTATTACAAATAAATTAGCATACTTTTTAGGGCTGTATAGTGTTCCAGCATGTCTGTATGTGTATGTATACATATATATACTCAGATACACATATTTGTATGTATATGTATATATGTGTGTGTTTATATATGTATTTTCTCCTGTCTTACATCTAGGAGTATGATTTTCATTGACCAGCACCTGGCTTTCCAAAATTATTATTAATTTTTAAAATTATCTTTAAATAGTTGTACAAAGGGGTTTCAAGTAAAAAACTTATTAGTATAATACATTTTGAGCCGGGCGCTGGTGGCTCACGCCTGTAATCCTAGCTACTCAGAAGGCTGAGATCTGAGGATCATGGTTCAAAGCCAGCCCAGGCAGGAAAGACTGTGAGACTCTTGTCTCCAATAAACCACCAGAAAACCAGAAGTGGCGCTGTAGCTCAAGTGGTAGAGTGCTTGCCTTGAGCTGAAGAGCTGAGGGACAGCGTCCAAGCCCAGAGTTCAAGCCCCACCACTGACAAAAAAAAAAAAAATTTTTTTGACCAATGTCATCCCTTCCCTCATTCCCCTATTTCCCAACCACAAAATTGTTATGTGACAAATCAGATAAGTCCTATAATGGGAGTATTTTAAAATTATACTGAAAAACAATAAAATTTACCTTCCCAGTGACTTATAGGCATGTAGTTTAGTAGTTTTTGGTGTGGATCTGCTGGGGTGGTGGGAGTGTTTTGCACAGTGCTGGTGGCTCACACCTGTAATCCTGGCTACTCAGGAGACTGAAATCTGAGGTCAGGGTTCAAAGCCATTGTTGGCAGGAAAATGGTGAGATTTTTATCTCCAGTTGAACACCAGAAAAAAAAAAAAAGCCAGAAGCGGAGTTGTGGCTCAAGTGGTAGAGCCTTGAGCAAAAAAGCTCAGGCATAATGCCCAGGCCCTGAGTTCAAGCTCCAGGACTGGCACAAAAATGTAAAAAACGATATGTTTCTTTGGGGAGTTGGTAGGGTAGTAGATGGCTTATAATCCTAATTACTTGGGAGGCAGAGATAGAAGGATCATATTTCAAGTCCAGCCAGGACAAAAGTTAATGAGACCTTATCTAAAAAACATGCCAGGCATGGTAGGATATAACTAATTCCAGCTATTCTGGGGGTGAAGGTAGGAGAACTGAGGCCCAAGACTGGTTAGGGCAAGAGCAGGAAACCCTATTTAAGAACAGACTATAAAACAAAAGGACTGGGGTCATATCTCAAGTAGTAGAGTGCTTGCCTAACAGGCAGTGGGCCCTAAATTCAATTCCTAGTTCCATTCATTTTCCAAAAAGATATACTTGGTGGTGTTATAGATTGCAAGAAATTGTGTGTGTGTGCTTTTTAAAAAAAGTATTGCAAACCTAAGAGAATATATATTAGGAGCGAAGCTAGAATGCATTTGTATTTTTTATAAAATGTTTTGTGTCCCATTTTAGATACCACTGTTTGGAATCATGTCATCAGATTCTGCAGACCCGTTCTACTGGATGAGAGTTATTCTGGCTTCCAATAGAGGTATGTACTAATATTTGCCTACATACTGACATCAAGTAAATGTAAACATGTCAATTACTGCTAGACATGGTGACTCAGTATTAGTAATCTTAGCTTACTTGAGAGGCAGAGATCAGGAGGATCTTAGTTTGAGGACATTCTTGGCAAAACATTTTTTTTTTTTTTTTGGGTCCAGTCATGGGGCCTGAACTCTGGGCCTGGTCGCTGTCCCTCAGCTCTTCAGCTCAAGGCTAGTGCCCTACCACTTGAGCCACAGCTCCATTTTCCACTTTATCCTTTTTGCTTATGTGGTGCTGAGGAATTGAACCCAGGGCCTCATGCATGCAAGGCAAATGCTCTACCACTGAGCCACCTTCCAAGCCCTTGGCAAAACATTCTAGAGACCCTTTCCCAACCAGTAGGTGGGCAAAGTGTGTACCATCTTTCTGGATACATTAGGAAGCATTTAGTAGAATGAGGCTCAGGTTTGGATCCAGGCCAAAAGCAAGACCCTGTCTTGTTGGGTCTTCATCTGTCTCACGAAAGACGGACGGGGTCCGAGGAAAGGTAAGTACAGCGCTTGCCAGTTCCCCAGCCTCCCTCAGCCTGGGAGACAATCAGATGCAGCGGGGAGTCAAGTCAAGCAGGATGAAGACCCAACACTGTCTCAAATTAACCAGCCCACAAAGGGACTGAAGGTGTAGCTCAGTTGTAAGAACAGCTGCCAGGGGCTGGGAAGGTGGCTCAGTGGTAGAGCGCTTGCCTTGCATGCCTGAGTCCCTGAGTTCGATTCCTCAGCACCACATAAAAAAAGGCCGGAAGTGGCACTGTGGCTCAAGGGGTAGAGCGCTAGCCTTGAGCTGAAGAGCTGAGGGACAGTGTCCAGGCCCAGAGTTCAGGCCCCACGACCGGACCCCAAAAAAAAAAAAAAAAAGAACAGCTCCCTGGGCAAGCACAAAGCACTGAGTTCAAACCCTAGTTTGAATCCTGTGGATTTAGAACTACTTTTGAAGACGAGCATGGTGGTTCATGCCTGTGATCCCAACTACCTGGGAGGTAGAGATAAAAGGGTAGTAGGACTATATTTCTAAAGTGGAATAAAAACAAGAGTGATGGGTGTGGCTCAAGAGACTGAGTGCTTGTTTAGCATGCCTAAGGCCCTGGGTTCAATCCCCAGTACTACAATTAAAAAAAAAAATTGGCCGTATTGGGGTTTGAACTTTTCTGTCTGGCTATATTTCAGCCAGGTTATTGCTGTGAGCCCCCCTTGACTGGTGCCAGAAACCATGGAAACATTACAATATCGTGTAATTATTGTAAAGATAGGCAGAAATCCACCCTTGGGGTTCTCACAGACTAAACATTCTGTGCCACATGTGGTGTCAGAGAGGAATTGGGGCAACCTTTGGATCAGTGGGAGATGAAAGCCTGAGCTAAAGCCTCCAGGATAAGACTGAGCACTAGAGTCTGGGAGAGGGGCTGAGGTGGATGGCCAGGGAGGGTTTTACGTTTCAGGAATAGCAAGGGCCTGCTTTAGGAAAATGCTTTATAAAGCAGGAAAGTATTTTTTTTTGTAGCATTTTTAGGTTACAAGAATAATATTGGTTTTATTTATACATACATGCCTATATACTGACATACAACGGGTGGAAGTCAGGGCCTCGTGCTTGCTAGGCAGGTGCTCTGTCAGTTAAGCCTTGCCTCCATCCCTTTTTGTGTTGGTTGTTTTTGAAATAGGGTCTTGGTTTGTCAGAGCCAGCCTAGGCTGTTATCCTTCTGGCAGGAGTGTGTCACTGCAACCAACTCTTGTATTTCATTGTAGCTGGATGACAGGCTTGGGCCATTGCATCTAGCCACTGGTTGAGAGGGAGTCTCACAGATATCTTTTTTTTGGGGTCCGGTCGTGGGGCCTGAACTCTGGGCCTGGGCGCTGTCCCTCAGCTCTTCAGCTCAAGGCTAGCACTCTACCACCTGAGCCACAGAACCACTTCCAGCTTTTTTTCTTTCTTATATAGTGCTGAGGAATCGAACCCAGGGCCTCATGCATGCAAGGCAAGCGCTCTACCACTGAGCCACCTTCCCAGCTCTCACAGATATCTTTGTGCCTTGGCCTGCCTTGAACTGCAGTTCTCTTATTTCTCCCTCCCAACTAGCTTGAGCCACCATGATTGACTTGATTTTTATCTTGAAAATACATGAGTATTTATATATAGATGTATATGAAGCCACAAATGAATGGTTGATCTCTAAGAAGCAGTTCTTGGAAAGCTGTAGATTGGCAACTATTCATTGAGATTTTTTCTTTTCGTGTGTATTCACATATTTAAATGTATATACTTTAAAAAGTAGGATATATCCTCTATGCCATTCTGCTACCTGGTCTCTCTAATAACTTAGATGAGCCATTTCATCTATTTGGCCATATGTTATAAAAGGATATGCTCCAGCTTATTTAATGCACAGTCAACAAATAGTTGTGAGTTTCTCCTCTGTGCTAAGCTTTGTGCTAAGTGCAAGAGACTAGAGCAGTGGGCAGCTCAGCATAATTTCCATGGAATTTATCATTTCAATTTGTGGGTATAGATTCTACATTGGATAGAAGGTGATATGTGGATGGAGATCTGTAGAAATGAGAGAACTGACCTGTTTGGTTATAAGTAGATAGTTATAAATTTTCAGTAGAAATGCTAAATTATCTTTCAAAGGGTTGTATTACTTTATTCTTTCAGCAGCAATAGGTGAGAATAACTTTTGTCAACCAGGCAGATGAAAATTGGTCTGTATTAATATGTATTTCTTTATATGTTGGTTTGTTTGAACACAACATTTTTATTCATAATTTGTATTTTTCCATTAGTGAGATTTTCATAGTGTGTTAAATTTCTGATGTCGTAAATAATAGAAAATTCCCAAATAGTTTTAATGGCAAAATGAAAGGATACCAGAAGGATGTTGGTAATTTTTTGGAATCCATAAATGCGGTTTAGGACTAAGGGCCGTTGGCAGGCCCTAGTAACAAGGATGTGGACCTTTTGTTATAGTGCTGGCAGCTCCCATATTCTTTGTTTCTTATACCAATTTGATGAGTTTTGTTTGCAGTGCTGTGAATAATTTCTGAAAAAGCTTCCATGAAGCTTTTTCAGAAGGAAGGAGCCATAACATATAACTGCAGCTCCTTTTTTAAAAATGTGTATTTTTTCCCATGTTTTAGTTGAATGAGCTGTTTGCATATTAGAGATATGAACTCTATCATTTGTAGTAAAATATATGTAGAATATACAGAGGAGCTGAACTGTCTCTGGTACTGTATCTTGCTACATCCACTTTTATAGTTTTATTTAATCATCTATCTTCTTACTGACTTTTGTCATGTTTAGAAAGCTTTTTCTTTCATATACCTGGCCTTTTGTTTTTGTATTGGTACTGGAATTTGAATCAAGGGCCTTGTTCACACTTTGTTTTCTAGCTCACAACTGGGACTTTACCACTTGAGCCATACCTTCAGCCTGACTTTTCTTTCTTTTGGCTGGTTAATTTGAGATGGAGTCTTAAGGCTGGCTTTGAAGTCAGACCTGGCTGAGATCTGAAGTAGCAAGGCTTACAAGTATGAGCCACTGGTACATGCACTGGTGTTTTTTTTTGTTTTTTTTTTAATGAGTCATGGGGCTTGAACTCTGGACTTGGGTACTGTCCCTCTGCTCTTCAGCTCAAGGCTAGCACTCTGTCTCTTGAGCCACAGCACCACTTCCAGTTTTCTGGTGGTTATTTGGAGAGTCTCATGGACTTTCCTGCCTGTACTGGCTTTGAACAGTGATCCTCAGATCTCAGCCTCCTGAGTGGCTAGGTGTGAGATTATAGGTGTGAGCCACTGGCGCCCAGCTGGCATGAAGTAGAAATCTTAATTTTCTATAAGTGGTCAGTCATTTGCCAAGGTCCTTTTATGTCCCATCCTTACTCATTCTTTGTCTTCCAGCCCTCCATATGTGTCTATCCATCCTTGTTTATCCCTTTCCAGATAGGGTCTCTGGCTATATTTCCCAGGCTAACCTCAGATTTTTATATTCCGGTCTCCTTGTTGCAAGTAGATGGGATTACAGGTGTATACTACTATATTTGGCAGTCAGCTCCTTTTTTTTTTTATTACTTTCTTGTGTGTATGTGTGTGTGGGGGGGAGTTCTGGTGCTTGATTTTAGAACCTCACATTCTCACTCAGTGTTTTGCTTATAGCTGGTGCTCTACCACTTAAGCCACACTTCAATTCCAACACTTTCCTTGTTAATTGGAGATAAGAGTACCACATATTTGTCTGCCTGGGCTGGCTTTGAACTTTTATCCTTAGCCTTCTAAATTGCTAGGATTATAGATGTGAGCCACTAGTGTCTGGCTTCTTTTTGCTATTTAAAAATTTTCAAAGTACTTTCTGTTTTGGTGCTGGTGATTGAACCCAGGGTTTCACATTCTGTACCATGGAGCTATAACCACACCCCTGAAAGTTTCTTTTAAAAATAATCTTTTTAGCTTGGGCGCCGGTGGCTCACACCTGTAATCCTAGCTACTCAGGAGACTGAGATCTGAGGATCGTGGTTCAAAGCCAGCCCGGGCAGGAAAGACTGTGAGATTCTTATCTCCAATAAACCACTAGAAAACTGGAAGTGGCACTGAGCTCAAGTGGTAGAGCGCTAGCTTTGAGCTGAAGATCTGAGGGACTGCGCTCAGGCCCAGAGTTCAAGCCTCACGATTGACCCCCCCAAAAAAATCTTTTTAATAGGTTCAGTGTTTACAGACATTTACATTTTTATAATACTTATACAACTTTTGATTGAATGTACTATTTCAGGGTTGTGTAATAGGTGAACTTTTTTATTAGTGTTTAAGGAATGAAAATTTGCTTGTTAATATTTAACCATATTTCAGTGAACTACAACACTCTGGTCTGTAGTACGTTCAGTAAATGTGGTTTACTTCTTTCATTTCTTTCCAGGAACTTTGATGGAATTGGGTATCTCCCCAATTGTAACATCTGGTTTAATTATGCAGTTGTTAGCTGGAGCCAAAATAATTGAAGTTGGAGACACACCCAAAGACAGAGCTCTATTCAATGGGGCCCAGAAACGTGAGCATAAATGCCATTAAGGAGAATTCTGAAATTTGAGATTTTTTGTGGGAAAGATGTTCCTATACTTTTTTGGGCTTTCTTCATCTTTGGTTGTAAGCATGTGTTCCTTTTCCCCCCAATTTTTGTCAGTATTTGGTATGATCATTACCATTGGGCAAGCCATTGTGTATGTCATGACGGGGATGTACGGGGACCCTGCAGAAATGGGCGCTGGGATCTGTCTGCTTATCATTATACAGGTAAGAGTCTTCCATTTTCATATGCTCATAGAACGGTCTGCTCTTGGTTTTCTAACAGTTCTGTAGGTGATTTGAAACATTATTTTCTTGTGAACATTTCAGTTACATTTAGATTAATGATGTGATGATTAAGAAATTTTATAGCTTCACAGATGTCCAAGAATTATGTACCACCTCTTTTCATTGGTTTATGATGTACATTGTTTACATTTTGCTGTATGAAATCAGAATGTTTTCCCCCAGTTACTAGTGCCTCAGTATTGCTATCACCATGGTCAGCCACGAAAGTTCTCATTGTATATGCATTTGTCTGTGTGGCTGCAGCTACTCAAGTTGTCCCTGTGTTAGCTGGTTCTGTGTAGTTGGGCTTAATTGCTCTTTGTAATGTCTTGAAAAACTCTTGTTAAGCAACAGTGCTGATGGCATATGCTTGTAGTCTCAGCTACTTGGGAGGCTGAGGTGGGAAGATCATTTGAGCCTCCTAATTTTTGACCAGCCTAAGCAATATGGTGAGACTCTGTCTCAACCAACCTTTGTGAAAGAAAAACCTTTATTGAAATAAAAGTGATTGTGCATGCAGAAAGGAACAGAAAGCAAGTTAGATGATAACTGTGTGTCTATGTCTGAAATACCTATTTAAATAAGCAGAACATAAAAATTCCTTGTAGTAAGAAGTGATACCATGACTTGGCAAGCTTTAGTTTTTTCTCCATGTTTGGCATCACATCCAGCCACTCTACCCTTGAGCTACTTTCCCAGCCTTTGCTTTTTTGATATGTAGCTCAGTTTATTCTTTTTTTTTTTGGAAGTATTGGGGCTTGAATTATGGGTCTGATTGCTGTCCCTGAGCTCTTCAGCTCAAGGCTAGCACTCTACCACTTGAGCCACAGCACCACTTCGGTTTTCTGAGTGGTTTATTGGAGATAAGAGTTTCACGGTCTTTCTTGCCCGGGCTGGCTTTGAACCGGGATCCTCAGATCTCAGCCTCCTGAGTAGCTAGGATTACAGGCATGAGACACCCGCGCCTGGCCTCAGTTTATTCTTGAACTTTCAGTCTTCCACCTCCACCTATTGCATACTGGGATGATAGTCACGTGCCTCCATGCTCAGCAGTGTTCTTTTCTTCTAGTGGTATACAAAAGAATGATATAAATAATGTAGACTTACACACACACACACACACACACACAAACACACGTGCGCACGCACACACACATCATGGACATTTTAAATGAATATTTGGGAATGGAATTTTTAAAAACCAGCATAATGTTTTTTTGGTAGTTGTGAAGTTTGAACTCAGGGCCTCGCACTGTTCCTGAGCTATTTTTGCTCAAGGCTAGTGCTCTACCACTTTGAGCCACAGCTCTGCTTCTGCCTTATTTTGTGGTTAACTGGAGATCTCATGGACTTTCCTGCCCAGGTTGGCTTGGAACTGTGATCTTCAGATCTCAGCCTCCCGAATAGCTAGGATTACAGACGTGAGCCACTGGCACCCAGTGGAGGCCAGCATAATTATAAATGTACAAAATATCTTGAAGTGTGTTAAGATTTTTTTTTTGTCTGATGCTTTAAAAAGTCACTGAGAGAAATTACTCCAGAATGGATTGTACTTAAGTTATATAATACTTACTGTGGGTTTAAAAAAATATTCATGGTGATGATTACTTCTTTTTTGGGTGGTACTACTAGAGATAGAACCTAGGGCCTTCAGCATGCCAGGCAAGCACTCTACTACCTGAGGCACACCTTGACTCTCTATTGTCTTGAAAAGATATTTTATTAAGTTAAAAAAAACCTTGGGTCCAATGTCCTGGTTACCCTGGAAATGTGTTTTCTTGACTACTCTATGAAATCAGAATTAATTTAGGAAATATTTTTCTAACAGTTCAAAAGATAAAGCTCAGAAAAGTTTTTAAAAATAACTCCAAGATATATTTATGTGTATATATATATGTGTATGTATGTATGTGTGTGCACATATATATGTATATATATGGTAACTATTTTTTTAATTTGAAACTTTACATAGAAATAAGTAAGATTGTTTTTTTCTAATTGATTTTATTTATTTTTTGTTTATGTTGTACCAAGGAATCGAACCTAGGGCCTCATGCATGCTAGGCAAGCACTCTACTACTAAGCCACATTCCTAGCCCTGAAATAAGTAAACTTGTTTAGTGAGCATGAGCCAGACAAGTATTTGTTGGTATCATTCACAGAAGAACTGGCTTTTCTAAAAAAGATAAATATTTTGTCCCTTGACTAGGGCAAGAATTTCTTTTTTTTTCCTTTTTGATGCTGATAGTGGGGTTTGAAAAGATATTTCATTCAGCTTTTCTGCTTGCAGCTGGTGCTTTACTGCTTGAGTTATACCTCCACTTCTGGCCTTTTGTAGTTATTTGGAGATGAGTCTTATGGATATGTCTGCTTAGGCTGACTTTGTAACTGTGATCCTCTGATTGCCACAGGTGCCAGCTTAGAGATTTTTAATGATCTTTGGTAGATTTCTTAGCCCAGTATATTCCTATTTCATGTGATGCAGTTTCTTAAAGAATAATGTTGCCTAGGGCTGTGGTCCTGACTCAAGTGGTAGAACAGTTGCCTAGCATGCAGACCCTAAGTTCAAACCCCAGTGACACCCACTCCTCTCCATCTACTAATGTGAGATTAGTATTGCCTCTCTATCTCCATTTGCAAATCACATGTTTACTAATATGTTAGCCATTTGAAGGAAGAAGAGGTGAGTGGATGGGAGAAGACCTCTGAGACTGATTTTAGTACCTTTCTTATCACACACTGTTGGGATTGTGAGCATGCCAGCAGGGCATTCATTGCCTCATTGTAGTTTCTTCACAGCATTTGCTTTACGCATCTATAGTTGACAATAACTAATGTGTCTTATTTTGGTCTTGGGCATTGAACCCATGGCCTTGAGAATGCTAAGTATACATTTAATACCACTTAGCTATACCATAAGCCCAGAATAGCCCAGATTTTTAGAAGACATTCAGAATGGGTATCTAGCTCTGAGAGCATTATGCACCAGTCTTTTCCTAAAGATACATTTAGACTGCTTGGGAACCTAAACTGAGCAATCTTGGGTTGGTTTGAAGAGGATTGGCTTCTATAGAATTCATACAGATATAAAATGCAGCTCAGTGATTCTGATGGTTATTTTCAGTATTCAGATCTCTGAGTAGTTATGTCCAATAAAATACAAGTGAATACATATTAATTTGTTTATATAAATTCAGGGATATAAGTATTTGTGTTGTGATTAATTCTTCTAGTGTTAATGTACAAATATGTCATGTTTGATCCTTGGTGGGAAGTGACCCATTTGTGTCTTTTCAAGGCATTGCTAACACTGAAAATATGTGGATATACGGAAGAGCTAAGATTGGATCAGTTTGTTTTCACCTAGAAACATAGGTTTTTGAAAACGGTTTGCATGCTGTATGGAAGGTATTTCTTACTTTATTTGTTCTTGTCTCATACACAGTCTTTTCCACTGATGGGCCTGAATCTTGATTAAAGTAAAAACAAACAAACAAACCAGAAATGTCAGTGTGCCTGGCACATAGTAATCATAAGCATATTTTGTCAAAGAAAGTGTTGTGTGCTTGCACATCAGGGTTCAAGAACCAAGTGTGGTTGTTTCCTATACGCCTGAGGCTACCCGCTCTGTTCTTCACACTGTGTTGCTCACACGCCTGCTGCTACTTCCGTCTCTTACAAGCACCTATGCTTTCTTACTACCACCCTTCCTTCCTTAATGGTAGAAATCATTCCTCATTGAGCTTTCCTTCTAGTTCCTTTTTTCCCTGCTTGGGAAAACAGGAGTCTCTTTTCTAAGCCAAGGAAGCACTCTGAAGTCAGACACTATTCTGAACCAGAAGTTTAGAGTAGCCATCATGTCAGAGCCGCTTGTGTGACTTTGCACAGGTCACCCATCAGAGCCCAGGGTAGTGCATTTGGTTGGCTGATAATTGCTGGACAGCCATTATTCCTTGTGTGGGATTGGGTGGCTGTGTTTGTTGGGAATTCTCAGCCATTACCTCATTTTGGTCAAAGTAAAATCTAGTAGTAAGTCCTCACTTTTTGGCAGAATGTCAAACTTGGTTTCCAAAAAGCTAGGGTTAGTATGTTCTCTTCTAAGGTTGAAAATTGTACTTTTTCCAGTGTATTGAAGGTCAAGCTGAATGATTGTATGTTGGCAATTTAGGATTTATATAATCACTCAAATGGTAGTTAATGAAAACACCCTAACAATGTTGTGTAAAGGTAAGCTTGCATAAATGATATAACGAGGTTTGCTGTGTCCTCTTGCCAGGTAGTATTGAGCAAGTCTTCAGTGCCTCCTATGGGGTCAGTAGGATGGTATCTTTCAAGTGGCACGTGGGTGAGGCTGGAACATAGTGTCTTTCCTTCCCCTCTGGATGAGGCCACTCAAGTCAGGAAGGAGGCTTGGGACTGAGGTCTCTGGGAAGGCTATGGGTTGTTTGTACCTGAAGCATGTTGTCACAGAAATATCTTCTCCAACAAGAAGGTTAAAGATGCTTAATATCACACAAATTGAAGTCAGTAGCTTCCATATTTTAAAATGTCAGAGTTAAGAGTTTAGGAACTTGGGGAACTCTTAACTGTCTTCAGATTTACATGCAGTTTTTGTCATGTCAGTACAGAACTTAGTTTTACAGTGTTATAATCTGTGCATGTTAATTGTGCTCTACTTTTTGACTTTATATATAGTATATGTAAAACATATGTAAACATACAAGCTATAGATAGAATTTTGTAAGTCTTCATTCTTTTTAATTAATGGCAATATAAAATTGCATTTGTTATTCTGTAATTTATTTTGCTTTTTATTGACTGAGAGTGTTTGGAATGTTTTCAGTTTCTTGCTGTGAAATTCTACAGCTGTGATCATTCTTGTTTTTCAAGCAGGCCCTATTTAAAACATAATAAGGGAACTATTCAAATGGTATATACTTTAAAAGACAGAATGTATACTATAGAATGTAACCATATTTCTAATCTTGATTTTCAAAATTGGCTTCTGACTGAAGTAAAGCAGGTCAAAAGCTGACTGGTAATAGTAGTTAGTGTGATGATTACATGTGATATTGAAAGTGCCCATACTTTGAAATAGCCTGCTGTGTCTTCCCCTTTCTTGAGTTTATTCTTGCTTCCGCTTACGTGCATTTCTTTTCCTACAGTTGTTTGTTGCTGGTTTGATTGTGCTGCTGTTAGATGAGCTGCTACAGAAGGGTTACGGCTTGGGGTCTGGTATTTCCCTCTTTATTGCCACCAACATCTGTGAAACCATTGTCTGGAAGGCCTTTAGTCCCACTACCATTAACACTGGCAGAGGTACATTGCACAGTGACTGCAACTGCACGAGTTTTGCTGATGTGTGCTGGACATGTGTCCGCCAGGCAGTGGACATACCTGTAGCTGTTCTGGCTTGTTGGCCCAGGGGACAGCGAATGCTAATTGTTCAAAACTTAATAAGCAGAGATGTGTTGAGTATGTAATTCTATTTTAAAAAGAATATCTAAATTTCAACCTCTGTCATTTCAAGTTTCCATGATTGCAAGCAGGTTTTAAAACTTTTTTTTCTGTTTTCTTTTTATAAATTTTGTTGACTTTGCTTAAGCCATAGCTGCCAAAGTCATTTACCTGATTGGCTGCAGCATTCCTGAAGCAATGAAAGGTAGTGGATTAAGATTTCCCAAATGAAAAGACATCATTGTATTCTGAGCATTCATACTTTTGCTTCTTCTCTAATTGGCTTTGTATTGGCATCTAAGTTTGAAAGATTTCACTCTGTCTTTTCCCTTACTCCTTCTACTTCTCTCAGCTCTTATCCTGATCTAACTTAACCTCTAACTCTGATCCCAGATCTAAGAATATAGTACAAAATGTAAAAGCAAGCTTGATAAATATATGTCCTTTGACTCTGACATTTTTATTCTGCTTTGCTGCTGCTTTTTTACATTTCCTTAAAATACTCCCTTTCCACAAAGGAAAGGTAAACCTTATGAATGAAAAAAATATTTGCAGATTTTACTTTGGATGCTTTTTTTGTTTTTATCAAGAATTTGTCTCTTGAGAAAACTTCAGATTTATGCTGAAATTTGCCTCTGTGGTCTAAATATTTTTAGAGTCTGCACACATACGGGGTTTCAAATGATTTGTTTTGACCTGATAACTTTTAAAAAGGTGTGTACAGTTCATTTCTGTCTTCATTTCTCAGGTACTGAGTTTGAGGGTGCAGTCATAGCTCTGTTTCATTTGTTGGCCACCAGGACAGACAAAGTCAGAGCTTTAAGGGAGGCATTTTACCGGCAGAACCTACCCAATCTCATGAATCTCATTGCTACTGTTTTTGTGTTTGCTGTTGTTATATATTTTCAGGTAAGTATCATGTTTCACTGAAGTGAGATGTGTATTTTTATATTGCTCTTAAAGAGAATGCCATTTGAAAGTAAATGTCTAACCGGTTGGGGCTTGGAGATCTATTTAGTCAAGCAAATACTGGCGGCATTTAGGTTTGTGTGAAGGTGCAGAATACTGAATTGGAAACAAGAGTCTGTTGTTAGCATTATCACACATTACCACCCCATATACTGTTCCTTGAACTTGCAATCCTCTGGTCTCTGTCTCCTCATTGCTGGAATTACAGGGTATGTCACCACACCTGGCTTGTACTCTTTTGTTGATAAGTGCTACTCTGGATTTTGCTTTCAGGGATTTCGTGTTGACTTGCCCATCAAATCGGCCCGGTATCGAGGACAGTACAGTAGCTATCCCATCAAGCTTTTCTACACATCCAACATTCCCATCATCCTCCAGTCTGCCCTGGTTTCAAACCTCTATGTTATATCCCAGATGCTCTCTGTGCGGTTCAGCGGCAACTTCTTAGTTAACTTACTGGGACAGTGGGCTGTGAGTATATGCTTTATATTTGTCAAGTATTTAAAATTATCATTTGCATTTCATGTTTGTATTTTTGCCTAGGATAGGCATTGAAGCTGTAATAGTCTCAGATTCATTTATCTGTAGCATTTAATTATTTAGATGGAAGACTTAGTGTTATAAGACCAAGATTGGTTAAGGATATTTAATGATTTTACTGTCTAGGAGACTTTTTGGGGGATTGGAGTAGTATTGGCATTTGAACTTAAGACCTCCTCCTTGCTTAAAAATAGTGAGTGTCAACAGTACTTCAAGGAAGTAATTACATTTAGGTCAATTTAAGCCATGCCACAACCCACTGGTGTATGTTAGCTTTTCTAATGCTGGGCTTGGCACCTGTTCACATAACTTCTGCCTAGGTCCTTTAGTTGCTAAGAGCAGAGAGAGGCCCATAGGAAGCATTTTCTCATATCATTTGAATGACCTTTTAGGGTAAAAATCACAGGTGCTTTCATGGAAGTGACTTCCTATTTTGTAGTCTTATTCCTCTATTGTCTATAGTAATGTTTGTCTTTTGGTTTTTTGTTTTAAAAACTGCACAGCTATTTCTTAAAACATCAAAGAAGCTATCTGCAGATATCTGCAGATAGTATGGGGTATTGGCATCATCCTTCCCCATTTTCCTTGGCCTTATGACAAAAAACTAGCTTGTTATTCACTGGGTTGGATGTAGCTGTGGATTAACAAGACAAGAGCTAAAGAAAGGGTTATTAAATTTTGATTGGTTTAAAATTCTGTTGAGTGTTTTACCTCTTTAAATTATAGAATTAAAAATATTTCCTTTATTTTGCAGAGAATGTAATTTTAGAATTTGTATTCTAGCCTAATAGTTCATTTTTGCAATATTCTTGAAATATGTTGCCTGCTTTGTGTATTTATCATATATATATATAATATATATATATATATATATATACTTTTTTTTTTGTTGTTGTTGGTTATAGAGCTTGAACTCAGGGCCTGGGCACTTGCTGTCCTTGAGCTTTTCACTCAAGGTTAGCACTCTGCCACTTGGAGCCACAGTGCCACTTCTGTTTTCTTTAGTAGTTAATTGGAGATAAGAGTCTCATGGATTTTCCTGCCTGGGATGACTTAGAATCCTGATCCTCAGTTCTTAGGCTCCTGAGGATTATAGGTATGAGCTACTAGTGCCCAGCCTTCATTTTTTAAAAATTGTTATTATAAAGGTGATGTACATAGGGTAACGTTAGAATAGTCAGGTAAAGATGGGGCTGGGAATGTGGTTTAGTGGTAGAGTGCTTGCCTGGCATGGCCCTGTGTACAATTCCTCAGTAACACATACACAGAAAAAGCCAGAAGTGGTGCTGTGGCTCAAGTAGTAGAATGCTAGCTAGCCTTGAGCAAAAGAAACATAGGGACAGTGTCCAGGCCCTGAGTTCAAGTTCCAGGACTGGCAAAAAAAAAAAAGTACATTTCTTTTTGGACAATGTTACCCTTTTCCTTACTCTCAAAATGTTTATATATTTAATATGTCTAGACTGCTTATAATAATGTACAAATCAACAAATCATATAAAGTTTGGGCATTGAGCTGTTTTTTTGCCAATTGGTTCTTGTTATTTTTATTTTTTTGTGGGTCGTGGGGCTTAAACTCTGGGCTTGGGCGCTGTCCCTCAGCTCTTCAGCTCAAGGCGAGCTGAGCCACAGCGCCACTTCCGGTTTTCTAGTGGTTTATTGGAGATAAGAGTCTTGCGGACTTTCCTGCTGGGGCTAGCTTGGAACTGTGATCCTCAGATCTCAGCCTCCTGAGTAGCTAGGATTACAGGCGTGAGCCACTGGCGCCCGGCTTGTTGTTGTTTAAAGGCAAGGTCTCACTTGGTAGTTCTAGTTGGCTTCTAGCTGTAGCCCAGGCTAGTTCAGATTCAAGATCCTCCTGCCTCAGCCTCTCAAATGCCAGGATTACAGATGTGTACACCAGATCCAGCTGATTGCATTATTGATACTTTGAAATGTGATAATCAATGTGACTATCACTCAGGATATTTTGATGTTTCTGATACAGTCCAAGAAGTTTCATGTTCTAAATAGAATCAGACTGGTTGTAAATGTGCTCACATTCCTGTTTTGAGGAAGGCAAAGATTTTATAGATGTAATGCTTAAAAAAAAATTCACAGTGCTGGGATGTAGCTCAGTGGCAAAGTGCTTGTCTAGCAAGTGCAATGTCCTGGGTTTGATCCCCAGTACCCTCCTCCCCCCAAAAAAAATTCATTCTAAGCTGGGTGCTGGGGACTCACACCTGTAATCCTAGCTATTCAGGAGGCTAAGTTCTTAGGACTGCGATTTAAAGCCAGCCTGGGCAGGAAAGTCCAAGAGAGAGTTATCTCCAATTAACCACAAAAAAACTGGAAGTGGTGCTATGGCTCAGAGTGGTAGAGTGCTAGCCTTGAGCAAAAGAGCTCAGGAACAAGCACCTATGCCATGAGTTCAAGCCATAGAACCTGTTTCTCCCCGCCCCTAAATCACCCTAATGTTTGTTAGTTATATATTAAAAATGACTTTTACAAAATAGTACAAAGTTTTAAAGGAATGTAGCAGTAGATCAAAAGTCACAAGTCATATAGAATCATGGGCTTTTAGGAATTTTAGGCTTAAAATATTGTCATAAGTTTTGAAAAATTGGAATTCTTAAAAGTAAATTGTAGCCTGGTATATTGTGTAGTCTCATGTACTTAAGAGGCTAAGGCAGGAAGAGCTCTTGAGCCCAGAAGTTTGGGATTAGTCTGAGCAATATAGCAAGACTTTATCTCAAAATAAGAAATAAGGGGGGAGTGGAGGGTAACTCAGTGGTATGTATAGTCCATGCTTAACCTCTGTGAAACCCTGGGTTCCATCCCCAGTGATGAGTATGTTTGATAAGTATTTGGTCAGGCTGACCATTTGTAATTCCTTGTTGCGTAGGATGTCAGTGGGGGTGGACCTGCTCGTTCTTACCCGGTTGGAGGCCTCTGTTACTATCTTTCTCCTCCTGAGTCCATGGGCGCCATATTTGAGGATCCTGTCCATGTGGTCGTTTACATCATCTTCATGCTGGGGTCGTGTGCATTCTTTTCTAAGACATGGATAGAGGTCTCTGGGTCCTCAGCTAAAGATGTAAGTATTTGTTTTATTTGAAGACAGTTCTCTTGATTCATAAGCAAATTAAATAATTCATTAGTTGTCAAATAGTAATCAATACTCTTGTCATTTAAGCTTTACTTCATATGTTCTTTTTTTGTTGTGTTTGTGAGGCTTGAACTCTGGGCTTGGGTGCTGTCCCTCAGCTCTTCAGCTCAAGGTGAGCGCCCTACTGCTTGAGCCACAGCACCACTTCTGGTTTTCGAGTGGTTTATTGGAGATAAGAGTCTCACGGACTTTCCTGCCTGAGCTGGCTTTGAACCGCGATCCTCAGATCTCAGCCTCCTGAGTAGCTAGGATATAGGTGTGAGCCACCAGCGCCTGGATACTTCATATATTCTTAATGAGGCTAAAAATCCAAATGTCAAAGATGCTTAGGTTTTACAATGGTTTGTGATCCTTTAAAACTCACCCCTACATACCAAACCCCTTTGCCTTTGTATTTCACTTCCCCTTGTGGAGGTGATAATGGAAAAAAGGTTGAGAAACCCCAGTTTAACGTTTAGTTGATATGTACTTGACAGCATTGAAGCCTCTTTCCTCTGTTTTAGTAGGAATGATACGATGTCACTCTTGAGGCACTTACATTTCACTTTTAATGTGTGGAAAACACTTCATGCCTGATAGGGAGTGGGTGGTAAAATGTTAAGAGCTTGATTAAAAAAATGTGTGTGTATAATGTAAGTTGTACAAAAGATTTCAATTCAACTTGTGAGTTTATGAGTACAATGTCACCCATCCCTTGTGACAGTGATCAGTGTCGCTCCTCCCACCGTTTTCTCCTGTTTGTCCTAACCACCGTATCCCTTCAACTTAGCTGGTTCCATTTTCATGAGAACTGGATTTTATTTTCCTCCTGGCAGGTAGCTAAACAGCTTAAAGAACAACAAATGGTAATGAGAGGTCACAGAGATACATCGATGGTCCATGAGCTCAATAGGTAAGTGCCTCACACTCAGTCCTTTATAGAACATATAGAACTTCCCCATGTTGCTAGGAGTGACAGGCACACACCATGATGCCCAGCCATTGGCTGAGATAGTCTCACAAACTTTTTTGTCCGCAGCGCCTGGCCAGTCTTCCTTCTTGCCAAGTAATTCTAGAGCCCTTTCAACATAGTGCTGGGACAACTGGACACCAACATGTAAAACAGAATGTGGCCTCCATCCTCTGTCAGAAAAGTTTACTATAAGATCTAGGAAGTTTTGTGAAATACATAAATGTCCAGAATAAGCTTATAGAGAAAGTAAGTAGTTGCCTGAGGTCAGGAGTGAGACGATGAGTGGGAATGAGGAATAATTCATGGATATGGGGTCTGTCTGAAAAATGAAAATGTTCTTAAAAATTACATTGAACATACCTGACTCTGAATACACAGTTAAGACCACTCACTAAGTGCATGAAGTGGTATGGAAATTACATCACAGTAAAGTTGTTGCCAGAGACCTAACCCCAAAGCCTGGAAATGAATGCCAATTACTGCAGGACAGGTGTTAGTACTTTGTGAATGCTCTCTGCTGATTTTACATGCAGCCAGCCAACACTGACAACTACTGGTCTACATAATCTTAACACTGGGCAGGCAGTTAAAGAAACTAGGTATCAATTTTGATATGGACATTAGGTTTTTTTGTTAAATGTCACTTCTCATATGGAGCAAGAATTTGAAGGGAAAAAGTTAGAACAATTAGTGACAAAGACTTTTCCAGGCTTTGGGGTTAGGTCTCTGGCAACAACTTTACTGTGAGGTAATTTCCATACCACTTCATGCACTTAGTGAGTGGTCTTAACTGTGTATTCAGAGTCAGGTATGTTCAATGTAATTTTTAAGAACATTTTCATTTTTCAGACAGACCCCATATCCATGAATTATTCCTCATTCCCACTCATCGTCTCACTCCTGACCTCAGGCAACTACTTACTTTCTCTATAAGCTTATTCTGGACATTTATGTATTTCACAAAACTTCCTAGTTCTTGTAGTAAACTTTTCTGACAGAGGATGGAGGCCACATTCTGTTTTACATGTTGGTGTCCAGTTGTCCCAGCACTATGTTGAAAGGGCTCTAGAATTACTTGGCAAGAAGGAAGACTGGCCAGGCGCTGGGGACAAAAAAGTTTGTGAGACTATCTCAGCCAATGGCTGGGCATCATGGTGTGTGCCTGTCACTCCTAGCAACATGGGGAAGACCAAGAAGGACAGTTGCCACCTTGTCTATAGTGGGCATAAAGCCAGACCCTACCTCGAAAATGACCACTGCAAAAGGGACAAGTAGAGTAACTCAAGTGATAGAGTGCCACCTTTTTTTTTTTTTTTTTTGCTGGTTGTGGAGCCTGAACTCTGGGCCTGGGCGCTGTCCCTCAGCTCTTCAGCCCAAAGCTAGCGCTCTACCACTTGATCCACAGCACCACTTTTGGCTTTTTCTGCTTTATGTGGTGCTGAGGAATCGAACCCAGGGCCTCATGCATGCAAGGCAAGCACTCTACCACTGAGTCGCCTCAGCCCCTAGAGTGCCTTCTTGAGTAAGCCCTGCGTTAAGTCCCATGAAACACTTCAGAGAATACTGTAATGAACATCTGGCATCTGGAATTACCATCTGTCTGCCATTGTTTTATTGTCTGCCTACCCTCGTCTTTTCCTTGAGTAGTTTTTTTTTTTTTTTTTTTTTGGTCAGTCATGGGGCCTGAACTCTGGGCCTAGGCACTGTCCCTCAGCTCTTCAGCTCAAGGCTAGCGCTCTACTGCTTGAGCCAAAGCACCACTTCTGGCTTTTTCTGCTTATATGGTGCTGAGGAATCGAACCCAGGGCCTTATGGATGCAAGGCAAGCACTCTACCACTGAGCCCCTTACTTAGCCCCCTTGAGTAGTTTTAATAAAAACCATTTTTAAGAGTTTTCCTGTTGACTCTAGTGTGCACGTGAAGCCAAGTTACTGTTTTAATAGATAACAAAATTTTGTCACATAGTTTTGTTGACAACTAGAAAACTTTTTCTTTTTGCCAGTCCTGAGGTTTGTACTCAGGGCCTGGACACTGCCCCTGAGCTGCTTTTGCTCAAGGCTGGCATTCTACCACTTGAGCCACAGTGCCACTTCTAACTTTTTCTGTTTATGTGGTACTGAGGAATCAAACTCAGGGCTCTGAGCATGCTAGGCAAACACTCTACCACCAAGCCATATTCTCAACCTAACAATGTTTTTTGAAATTTACTTTTCACTTCATGAGAAGATAATAGAGGCTATTTTAAAGTATTAAACCTTGTAATACTTGAATTTCAGCTTAGAGTTCTGATCTTCAGTTCTAAGAATTATATATTGCTTTTCTTGGCTTTTATTTTTTTTTGAAATCTGGGAGTCATATTTTTTTGCCTTAATCAGTTCCTCATTATCATTCATCTGATAGGTTTCAATGGATAGCTTTTGCAGACTGCTCTGATTGGCTAGTTTATATTTTCTTAGACAATCACTGCTATCCACTGCCTGACAAGGGTTTGTCTTGCAGGTACATCCCCACGGCGGCTGCATTTGGAGGTCTGTGCATTGGTGCCCTTTCAGTGTTGGCTGACTTTCTGGGAGCCATTGGGTCTGGCACTGGAATTTTGCTTGCAGTTACTATTATTTATCAGTATTTTGAAATATTTGTTAAGGAACAAGCTGAAGTTGGTGGGATGGGTGCTTTGTTTTTCTAAACGTTCAAGTTATTTCTTTTTGTGTGTGTGTGAAAGGGAAAATATTTTGACATATTGTTTTTGTCAAAAAATGCTGGTTTCCCCCTTCCTTCCCTCAGTTTGTTTTCAAGTGCTACTGTCCCATTTCTATGGGCACCAAGCTAAGCCTGTGAGCAGCATTAGTACCAGCTGCCTTAAAACTCAAGTTTACATTATTCGTTAAACATGTCCAGTGTTGCCCATAATGCTGGAAACTGAAGCATCTACCTTGCTGTGTTAAGTCAGGACAGTGAGTCGGTGACCTGGATTTGTTTTGCACACAACATTCAGAATGATTATCCCCCTTGTTTAAAAATAAATGTAGTTCAAATTGCCACTTCCAGTATTTTTGAGCTTATCTAATGAGTTCTGGAACATTTATATCTGATCTATATTTTAGATAATTACTTTTTATACTTTTTTATCTCATAGTCTCCATGTTCCCTACCCTCCCCGTCCCCCTCCCTCCTTTATTTGTCCCTTCCCAAAGCAGCCACTTAGCCCAATGGGCAAAAATCAAGCACTGAAGTTATTTCTTGTCGCTGGCAACACCTGCGTCTCATCTTCCTGGTTCTCATCACTTTCCAGAGACAGCACGGTGGGTGCTGTTTGGACTGTATTGGCTATGCCTCCGATTCCACCCAGTCACTTGAGAATGCTTTCAACACACCACGTCCCAATTCTTTTCTTTTCTAAGTCCCTAAAGCAAAGATCTAATTCTCAAGCAATGTCTGTAGTTCAATGGGGGTGAACAATGAGTAATTCATGCTAGGAATTTGTCTGTTGTTGTACTTATAGCAGCAACATGAGTGTAAACAGTAGACAATAAACTTTTATTTAATAAAACCGTTTCAGTCGTGTTAGAATCAAGAAATATCATACTGTTTTCTAAAATTATTTGTATGGGTTCACTGTATGTATATGGAACCGGTGGTTCTCTGGTCACTGCTAACCACATTAACATGGTGCCAATGTTACTTTTTCAAAAGAGAAATGCAGCTTTTAAAAATGCAGGCAAATTGATTTTAAACAGTGCTGAATAGTGAAAACATCCAGGCTGTCAGTTCTCACACTTTGTCTTCAAGACAGAGCTTTTTTTTATGCCCAACCTTGGAGGTCTTAACTCATGGCCTGGTTGTTGTTCCTGGGCTTTTTTTCAGGGCTAGTCCTCTACCACTTGAGCCACAGCTCTACTTCCAGCTTTTTGGTGGTTACTTGGTGGTAAGACTTCAAACTACTTCAATTTTCAGCTCTCAGCCTCCTGATCACAGGCTAGGATCACAGCGTGAGCCATCAATGTCTGGGTCTCAAGGCCAAGCTTTTGAAGTTCACATCAGGGACTAGGGGTTAGCAGTCACTTCTGTGACTGACAGAGGCCAGGTAGAGGTGACAGACTTCATTTCTCCATCCACCTTTAAGGTCACTGCTACTGGAGTGACCTTGGAATTAGTTGTCTGTGGGAATGGTTGGTCTGTGCCAGTTTTTCTTGTCTCTGATTTCAGAGGACGGGAGTAATGGGAAATTTCAGAATGCACTCCTGAGAAATCATAGTAACAGAATATAGCCTTTGGAGAATTGTGATGCCCATGGTTCCCAGTCCGGATGTAGATAGATCTTGCTGTGTTCCTCAGGCTGGCCTTGCATTCACATCCTCTAGGAGCCTCAGATTACAGGTATGTAATACTGTGTCTTACTAATTTTACATTCTCTACTGTATATCCAAATTCCACATAGCAAATAATTATTAGGTCCCTATGTAGAGGTCTTTCTCTTAAAAGAAAAAACATTCTAGCTTAAAACACGAATGCAGTGGCATTGCGTTTCAGGGGATGAAGGCTGGAAAAATTGGCCTAGCTTGGAATTCAGGTCTGATTTCTAATTTTCTAATTTCCTGGACTACATGTTAAAAGTAGCAGTTGAGGTTAAAAAAGCAATGAAAGTGAGGGGCTAGGAATATGGCTTAGTGGTAGAGTGCTTGCCTAGCACTCATGAAGTCTTGGGTGCAATTCCTCAGTACTACATAAACAGAAAATGCCAGAAATGGCACTGTGGCTCAGGCCCTGAGTTCAAGCCCCAGGACTGGCAAAAATAAAATGTGTTGGGGGGCGGGGAGTGAATATACCTGTATTGATGTTAGCTTCTGTTAATATTAGCTAGAGTTTAACCAACTGAATGAAGTAAGGTTACAGCCTACCTGTAATGACAGTGCCATACCACCAAGTGCATTCTGTTACTTTTATTTATGAAAAAGCTACTTTCAAACCTACATAAAACTAAGTTGAATACAAAGTCTTTGTGAAGAAGGCCAGGTGGTCTCAGTTACAAAATCACATATGGCCATTGTCCTTGTTGGCCTCAGAATTTCAGGAAGGGCACTTCGAATGGCTTCGTGTTTGCATGCTTCAGGGCCAGGGCGTAGGAGTAGACTCTGGCATCCACCGTCAGATGTTCTTCAGCTACCAGAGCTAAGGAAGCAAAGGCAACATCTTAGGTAATGCACTCAGCAGTAGATAATGCCAATCCATGTTCACTGAGCCACTATCACCTGCCAGCTAAATCCTCCAATATGCACCCTCCACCAAGGGTGCACTACCCACATCCATGCACTGCTACAGATGGAAGCTATGAAGTAATAAACAACAGAAAGTCTTGACTATTCTGTAGGAAAAAATGCACGAGTAACTCTCACTTCTGTTCATATTTAAAACTATCTCCAGGAAAGGAGTGGCCAACTGCTAAAACTAGTATAACAGCTTCTGGGTATCTGGCATTAACAAGATAGAGGAGACAGGAATAGGAATTATTTACTGCCGCATGGCTGGGGGTGGAGAAGGGAAAACAAAGTTTGGCGATAATTTTAGGAATGCTTACCATCAAGTCTATTCAGCAGGTCATTCTTTGGTAAAGAGATTACTTCCACAAATTCTAAACAAACAAAGCACAAGTGAAAACAAAGCTAGAGAACACAAGCCTACCCAACCCCCAGACCGTGCAGCTGTAACCACTGCACTGTGTCAAGTCACATCACGTGCGTGCGTGGCCTTCCTCCGGGAGCCGAGCAACATACCTCCATCCCCTGAAAAGAAACACAAGGAGAAGACTTTAGTAAGGCCCAGAGTGCCAACACTGGAAGACTTTCATACACCACATGTCATAAAGGTATGTAAGAATTTAATAAAATGCCAGGACTCAGCTATTGCTACCTTGGCAAAACCAACCCAGTAGCAAATGTTAGCAAAATTTAAAGCATATTCTCTAATACATATACTTGCACACTTGTAAAATACAACAAATTTAGCATTTTAGCCATTTTGTGTGTGCTGATAATGAAGACTGACTTCAGGGCCTTACAATCTTGTTTGACTTGATTGCTTGGCAGGTACAGTAAAACTTGAGCCACACCTCTAGGCCATCATTTTGCTGGCTGATTGGAGATGGAGTCTCTCACAGATTTTCTTGCCTAGGCTAGCTTCCAGCTGTGATCCTCTAGGTCTTAAGCCTCCTGACTAGTTAAAGCATGAGCCACTGGTGCCTGGCTCATCTTAACTATATATATATATATATATATATATATACATATGAAATCTTAACTATTTTTAAAGTTACAACTTAGTGGCCATTATCACCACTGTTAAAAGTTTTACATTTTCCTCATTCCAGACGGAAGTGTGAAACCCTGCATCGGCTCCCCATCCCTGGTAACCCCATGTACATTCTGCCTCTGGTGACCTAGGCTAGTATTTTGTGTAAGCATAGAGACACGACATGTGCTCCTTTGTGTCTGGCTAGCTTATTTCACTTATGTTTCCGCCTGGGCTGCTGTGAGTGACAAGGCTGTCAACATGGGATATGATGCTTGAGTGACTTCACTCCCAGGAGTGAGATGCGGGACCATAGGCTAATTCTATCGTTAACATCTTGAGGAACTCCCAAACTGTTATCCATGCCAGATGTACATCTGCAGGTCAAAAATGAAAACTGGCTGCAAGAGGGACAGTGAAGCAGGAGCAGTTACAAAGGGAAGAAATGCAAGAACTGCGCTCCCGCCGGGGCTTGCATAAACCACACTCCTTTTAAGGGCTGCAAGGAAAATGACATGGACTTGACAAATGCCAGTGTTTGAATCCAAACTTACTAAGAAATATTCTAGAACCAAGAATACCCTAACAGATTCTCTAAATACAGAACTCCAAAAGAGTAACTGGGAAACTGCTGCCCCCTGACATTGCCTCTGCCCTTTTTAAACATACCAATGAGAGTGGAAACCAAGGTGTTTTGGAATCTTCTTGTATGTTTAGGCCTACAGTTCATATTGCTAAGTGGGAACAGGCATTATAAAAAATATGCAAATGTGTAATTTATATAAAAAGGCATAAAGGTCAATGATAGGCTAGTGAGGCAAGATAACACATGTGTGTAATCTCAGCATTTGGGAGGCTGAGGCAGGAGGACCAGGAGTTTGAGGCCAGCCTGGGCTAAATAGTAGAGACTATGTGAAAAAAATCCAAGATCAGAAAAGCAGACAAGAGGACCTATTGAAGACTAGTATTCTTTTAACAAACAAGAAACAAAATATAATGTAACAACCACCTTAAATGGAGTCCACACTTACCTGGCTTTGGCTTAGGCCTTACATTTTCTGCATCGTCGCCATTGATGGTTACTGTTACAATGTGTGTGGTACAATTTGACAAACCCGGATCCATACATACAGCTATGGAGAGAGCGAAAACTTGTGGTAAGGAATCAGTCAGATGCTTCAGGCTCTTTGGCCATTTGCTTCATTGCTGAAGTCTCAGGAAGAAGAGACTTGGAATTCAGTTAACAGAAGACACTGATTCCACCAGTACATGCACATATATGCTACCTTCTTATACTTTCCCAGAGTTCCCAAGCCAAGCTCGGTAAGCCTGAGGGGCATATGGTGCTGACCAGTTCAGGGGTGGGGGAGGCAATGGGGCTGGGGGGGGCAAACTTGTTGGGAGGAGTGGGGCACATGGGTGACGGTGGCTTAGAAAGCTGGGTGTGGGGAATTCTGCAAGGCAGCTTGTTCCACAGCTGTCCAACCTGAGCAGAACCTGCTCCCGTGGGGAAGGAGATTCATTACTAATGGAGACCAATGGAAACCGACATTTCTCTGCACCAGATCAGCTGAAATACAAGCCATCTGAATCCCAACATAACCCTCAAATAAACAATCCCAACACCTGGAGGAGGTACTGCTTGCTTAATTTCCCAAGGGCATTCTGAGGGACGAGCACCAACCTGGAGAGCATTCTGCCACGTCTCCTTTGTAGCCTGTCTCCTCCTCCAGCTCCCGGAGCGCAGCTGCTTCAGGGCTTTCATTGTCATCGATGAGACCTGCGGGAGGGATAGGGAGGGATTCCTGCTGACCAGATTCTCAGCAGTCTTACAGATCAAAGTGACAAAGGTTCACAACTTCAATGACAGATGAAAAAGCACAAGAATAACATGGAGGATGGCTGAAGCAGTTGTGGGAATTGTGGTTCCTCTCACTTAGGTCTGACTCTGGGAGTATGGCAGCTGTGCTTCTGTGCAGCCGGCTTGTGTGAGGAGGGGTGACTTGGAGGTTAGTCAGCTGCGTGAACTTAGCACAGGAAGCTTGTGGACAATGTGCCAGCTGCCCATCTCACTCTCCTCCCTCATAAATAAAATACAGAGGCCTGTAGTGAGTACCAAGGGCTGTGGGCATGAAGTGCCAGCGGAAGGCTGCACCAACAGACTGCTTGCTCTCAATGGAAAGAGCCGGGAGAAGCAGGGCATACGGGCTACTCAGCAACTTTCAATGTTATTAATGATTTTAATAAAATGGCATGTGAGAGAGGAAAAGAACCAACAATTTTTAACTTTACAGTACTATAGCAGTCCTCCCCCAGCCTCTTCATCCCAGTGCTGGGGATGGAACCCAGGGCAAATAAACTACCACCAAACATCCCACCACCCCCATATCCAAATGGGCTGGGCTTTCAAAATCATGTGATTTAACTTCAGATGGGTTCAAGCCAAGAAAGTCCTACAGTAGCACAGTGCGTTACATTCTGCACAGCCTCTTTCATTACTACTGTATAACAGAGAACATCCTTGCTGAAATGCAGTTTCATTAGCCTGTGTATGCATGGTGGCAGGTCAGGGTCTTTTCCAGTCATAGCTTTGGGAGTTAGAGACTGCTCTATGCAATGTGGCAGACTGCTCTCATACAAAGTGAGAGGAGTGGACACATGGAGGAGCAGCAGGTGCTGAAAGGGAGAGGAATGGGTGGAGAGGCGGCCATTCCTGCCATGCTCCGGCCATGGGCCCTTGAGGGCAGCACTCACCTACTGGTGGGCCCATGGACCCCAAGGGCAGCATGTTACTGTTACTGACCTGCAGGGAACTCGAGGCAGTAACCTCCCACTGGTGGCCGGAACTGTTTGACCAGGACAATGCACTCGTAATGAAGAGTTCTCTGCAGCACTGGGATGACGGCTACACCTGTGATAGGGAATGGAATCAAGGACATCCCTTGGGGGCTGGGAAGGTGGCTCAGTGGTAGAGCGCTTGCCTTGCATGCCTGAGGCCCTGGGTTCGATTCCTCAGCACCACATAAGCAAAAAGAAAAAAGCCGGAAGTGGTGCTGTGGCTCAAGTGGTAGAGCGCTAGCCTTGAGCTGAAGAGCTGAGGGACAGCGCCCAGGCCCAGAGTTCAGGCACCACGACTGGACCCCCCCCCCAAAAAAAAAGACATCCCTTGGTCAGCCAAACCAGCCATTTGTTTAGACACTCCAACAAAATCCCCAGATGTTAAGAAATCCCAAGTCCGAAACCTAGTAAGTTAATCCATAGTATGGAAGCAGTACATTTTTTTTTATTTTCAAAGTAAAAACAGTCATATTTCTGCTTGAAACTTTTTAAAATAAAAAGCTCATTTTAGTTGTCACAATTTGCTTCTCCTACCTTGTTCCCCCCCACCCCCGTTTTTCTTAAGCTATGAGGTACCTTCCAAGTAGCTGGGACTCTAGGCATGCATCACTGTGCCAAGCCATAATATCTTTTAAAAATAAAATTAAAACTAAAACATCTTTCACAGGGGCCAAAGAGAGTTTCAGGCTACACTGCCCTCTCCATAGAAACACTGTTCACAAGCAGTGCTAGGCTACCAGTAGACTTTCAGAGTCACGTGCTCCTGGACTTCCCTGAAGTTATAAACCAGTTTTAAGGGCCACAGTTTCTAGCATATGCTAACTAGACTTGTCTTTTTTTTTTTTTTTTTTACCATTTTGGGGTAAAACATCCTTTCCCCAAATTGCTTGGTCTTACTGAAAACACAATCAAAGAGCCAGGGGGAACATTTGGTTCCTGCTAAGCACTTCTGCATCAGTTAAGCTCAATAGTCCTTTCAAACCACTGCTTGCTTGTCTTAAAAACAGAAGCCAACACAAAGTAAAATCCAGGAAGACTTATTGTTCAACTTCTCCTACACTACACGTGACTTCCAGAATTGCTTTTGGGGTCTCTGCAGACAAACCATCCATGTGTAGAAGGAAAAGTGAATTGAAAGATGTCTTTCTCCAACTCCTTTTCCTCCTCAACTTATAAGGTACACCAAGTCATTTTGCCAAGCTGACAGATCCTACCTGAGTCCCTCAAATTGTATTCAAAAGGTTCTGGAAGCCATAACATATACATACACAGACACAGTATGGGGCTTTATGTTTGGCTGTAAAGATTACTATAGCCTGGTGCTAGTGACTCACCTCTGTAATCCTAGCTACTCAGCAGGCTGATGGTTCAAAGCCAGCCCAGGCAGGAAAGTATAAGACTCTTATCTCCATAGGAAAGCCCTGAGACTACTATCTCAAATTAACCACCAGAAAACTGGAAGTAGAGCTGTGGCTCAAAATGGTAGAGTGCTAGCCCTAAGCAAAGGAAACTCAGGGACAGCAACCAGGCTCTGAGTTCAAGCCCCATGACCAGCAAAATACATCAAAATGCTATATCTTTCTTAAAAAAAAAAATGTTCTGAGCTTAGAAAGAGCTGAAAGTTCCTTCTAAAGACAGCTTGATGTAGTCATGCAGCACTGCAAAAACTAATGCACAAGAAAGTGTAAGTAAAGAAAAGCTCTCTGCTCTGAGGTCTTTGGTTGCACTCAATACCCGCCTACAATCACTTCCTTCATAAAGACAGCTGTAGCTGGCATACCATCAGCTGTCTGTCCCTTCCTGGTCGTCCGTTTCACTGTTTCCCAAGTTCTGTTCAGGCAAAGGAAGAAAAAAAAATCATTAGTGCTTAAGATGAGACTGTTCTGAGGTTTTCAGCATACAACCAGAACACCAAAAAATGCAATGCATGCAAAGTACTAACAATACTGGTCAAAGATCCCAACAGTAAAGATCTGCAGTTAACAAGCCAGTGGAGCTTCCTCATAGCTTCTGTAATTATCACACAAAATGACTGACACTCTATAGCTAACTCTGTGGATGCCGTCCAAGCAGGAAGCCTGTGGGATCGCTGCTTTCCAGTACATGAATCATCTGTTGAAGGGTGAGCAGCATGCTGGTGACCACAGCTGTGAAGGCCAGCAAGCAGTGAGGCAAAGAGAGCCTGAGAAATCCCAGCCTACCTCTGACAGCAAAAGGTACATGCACAAAGGACAGCCATTTTTTATAGATGTGACTGACACCAAATAAGGGACAAAGTAGAAACTTCCCACTAATTGACTGAGGAACTACTAAGTTTATAAGTAGAGGTCCTATCTTAGGAGAAGTCCCCAGAGGAAAAAGTGAGGTGGATAATAAAAAAAATTCTGGCGACCTCTATTGGCTTTACTTGTTACCAATTTGTGACTGCATATCCAGTTTCAGGTTTGGAATGTCTCTGCCACCCTACTTTCTCCTACAGCTCTATAGACAAGCCAGCACCAGAAAGACCATACTGTTTTAAGGGAAAGGTGTAGTGGGAATTTCCCCATTTTCCCTTGCATCCTTACATAGGGGAAAAAGTGCTAAAAGCTGGGAATGAAGAAGCAAACAGTGTTAGAACATCTTCTAAAGGAAGGTATCTACCTGAGTGGATCTGGAGGTTGGGGCAAGAAGGGGCCAACATCTGTATGCTAACCTCTGCATCCCAGTACTAAAAGGGGTAAGATACACCACTTTTATCTGGTTGTCCCTAAGGACTGACTTCACCACATTTCTATTTAAAGCTTTCAGCTATTTAACTTGATTTTAAAAAATAACAGCAGCAGGGGCTAGGAAGGTGGCTTAATGGTAGAGTGCTTGCCTACCATGTACAAGGCCCTGGGTAAGATTCCTGAGTACCACATAAATAAAATAAAAAAATAAAAATAATAGCAACAAAACTCCTTTTCTGTAAACATCTTTTGGCACTGTACTGATTCTAAAGAGCAAATGTCAAAATAGACCTATGGAAACGGGACTACTGGGATAACTCACAATGGCCCAACATTCCTGTTAGTATCAAGAAGCCAACCAGCAAGCAGTTTCTGGTAAGTAAATAATACAGACTGCAAGAGACACCTTTTGACAAAGCTCTTTCTGCTTCCTCTTAAGGTCAGTCCTAAAGACTGACGAAGACAGTGCCAGGAAAAGCACTGATGGTCCCAAATATGCTAGGAATAAGGAAACAAAAGAGGAGCATGTTACAGTGGTTAAGAAGAATATGTGCAGAATGCGCTGGATGCTTACGGGCAGTGAAATAGCAACATACTGAGGAAGTACTAGAATGAGAGCTCCAACAATCTTAAAGGCACTTCGAGAGATGCCTATTTGATGTGGAGTGACATGTCTTAGTCTCTATTTGCCTACCAGCTAAACCCAAGGTGACAATCTCCTGGAGACAGTTTGCAAAACTTGGGAATGAGTATAAGGTTTTGAAAATTTATTCTAGTTTTGTAAAGTATGATCAAGTAGCAAGTACAGAGGCTCATTTTCAGAGCTTAATTAATTCATTATGATCCAACGTATTGATTGTATATAAAACCTTGTCAGATGCCAAGAGGAAGACATGGAGGAAGGGAGGTGAACGAGTTACAAATAGGCAGTACACATGTGGTAGTTTGGTAGACTTTCGAAGCCACTACCTAATTGCTAAGACTTTTTGAAATGAGACCTAGATATGTGTATTCTGAAAAAGAATGTAGGTGACTCAGATGCATATCCCCAATTAATAAATGTTGGAAGACTAGACTATTTAGACTAATTACTGTATTTTATTTAAACAATTATATTGGAAAATAAGAGGCAAACTCATTATTATGTTAGGTTCAATATCTGTATATCTTTTCATAAATATAAACATGTTGGGTCTTATCACAAATCTGTATTGGGTTTGGACCATATTCATCTATGTAATTCATATTTAGTTCTACATATCAAACTCATTTGACATTACAGACTTGACATTTTACATAATAATTACACTCTTCTCTTCTCGATGGCACATACTATGCTTAGGCCCCTTACTTTTGGGTAGTAAGTTAATAGTGCTATCAGTATCATAGTATGCTTCAACACTAGGTGGGTCTTATTAAGGTTTTTCCTTATTTAGCTAATAGAGCTTTACATTTTTTTATGTTTTTGTTTTCTCTTAGAAATTTTTCTCACTTAGAAATTAAAGAAGCAAAGCTGGGTGCCAGTGGCTTATGCCTGTAATCCTAGCTACTCAGAAGGCTGAGATCTGAGGATCGTGGTTCAAAGCCAGCCCAGGCAGGAAAGTCTACGAGACTCTTATCTCCAATAAACCACCAGAAAACCAGAAGTGGTGCTGTGGCCCAAATGATAGAGCACTCATCTTGAGCTGAAGAGCCGAGGAACAGTGCCCAGGCCCAGAGTTCAAGCCCCACAACTGACCAAAAAAAAAAGAAATTAAAGAAGTAGCCATGTACTATTGAATATTTACTACCTTGTCAGCTTAAATTATACTTTACTTAAATGTTTTAGGCCCACAGTTAGTCTACTCAAGAGAACTTATAAAATAGATTTCTGTAAACCTAGCTACTTGGGAGGTTGAGATCTGAGTGTCACTCCTGGTTTTGATCCTTAGCACTGAGAAATGAATAAATGAATGGATAGATTCTTGATTAGTTATTACAAGAAGTTTACAATCCTATTTTATTCAGATGATCAATGATCCAAATATTCTAACCATCATAAAACAGCTATCTCAGATTCTTTATCTAAGAACCAGTTCACAATGAGGGAAACATCAAAGTCATAATGTCAACCAGTCAACAGAGACCCAGAGAATGCAAATACTGATTATTTTGCAAAAGAACATAAAGCTCACCTAGTTTTACCAGTAGGATCCATGTAAGTTGTTTTTTCAAGCTTGACCCATTTTCCTTCTGAAATTAACTAAAAGAAGATCAGATAAGTTGGGAAACTTCCAAGTTTCTTTCTTTCTTTCTGAATGAACCCCTCATCCCCAATAATTTATGGGCAAGTTCTCATTTTGAAGTATTCAAATTGTCTTCTATAGGGTACCCCTATTTCCTTTTGGAGTTTCTAAGGGATTACTGAGAGGTGAAAGGAAGCGACAGTCTAATGACTTGGGGAGCGAAGTGGGTGGAACTCAGGGTGGGCTGTGCTGAGCATGCATAAGGCCCTGATCCAGCTCTGATAAATAACAAGGCCTAGGTCGGAGCAGAAAGGGGCATCTGGAAGGGAGCAGCAGAGATGAACTCCTGTGTGTGACGTGCATCGTTGGCCACCTCAGTGTGCTGGGTATGTAGGTGCTCAGGGGCTCTTTCCTGTTGGTGATTACTCAGGAAGACCAACTGTGAACAAACTAGCTCAGACTGGGTTTCCTATCCTCACTCATCCAGTCCAAGACAGGAACCCCAGGACAGGTCTGCCTAGGTGGAAAGGAGTTGCAGTCCTAAGGACTAACTTACTTACAGCACTACACTGACTTGAGAAGAAAGTTTCTGTGGGAACTTAAAGCCTTTTCCTTATGATCCTATCTCTCACTTCTTGCTGGCAGCAACCTACTATTTATCAGCAGATCTGTTCACAAATAACACAGAAAGAATTTAAATAAAAAAGGTTTCTAGGTAAGTGTCAAGGCCAAGTTCCCAGATAAAAGATTTACAATTTACTCATTGCAAAGGGACCTGCTAGAGACTCTAAAAGCTAAATTTAATAAGGTGGGAGACAGACATTAGTTCTAGGATTCAGCATAAAACTTGCTGTCATTAATAACTTCTTTAGCATGTATGTTGGGAAAACTTCTCACAAGGACAAAATGTGCTTGAGCCCAAAGATGGGATTATAAAAAATATTTAAGTACCGTTTTTGAGAATGAAAAAAAGTCATCTGAAATGATGTATTTTCAAAAATTCTCTTCTAGGCAGGGAAGGAAAGGACAGTGCAAAGTTCTGTACCTCCTCCGAAAGAATGCGCTGTTCCATGTTCTGAGGAGACTCTGATGATTCTTGGTTGTCCATTGTTAAATGATCAGTCTTTGGCCCTGGGGTGATAAGTTTACTCTGCAAGATGATGGCAGTTGTTTAAGTAAAAACTTTTCATATACTTTTTTGGGGGAGTGAGGTGGGGGTGGAGGGGTAGGTGGCGGGGCTTGATCTCAGGGCCTTGGGTGCTGATTCTGAGCTTTTGTGCCCAAAGCTTGTGCTCTCCTATTTTGAGCCACAGCTCCATTTCTGGTTTTCGGGTGGTTCACTGGAGGTAAGAGACTCATGGACTTTCCTGCCCTGGCTGGGTTTAAACCAGAGCCTCAGTTCTCAGCCTCCTGAGTTGCTAGGATTACAGGTGTGAGCTATTAACACCAGGCTTATACCTTTTTAAAATTAACATCAATAAGCTGTGCAAGGAGGTTTTGTTCTGACATGTCCATATTCACATACAATGTCTCTCCATCACTCACTTCCTCTTTCTTCCTCATTCTCCTTCCTTTCCTTCCAAAACCAATCTCCACAAGCTTCAACCATTCTATTGCATGTGCACAGGAAGCATTTTGATTCTATCTGTCTTCCTTCACTCTCTCTATTCCCACTAGTTGTCTTATTCTGGACAGAACTTATTTTACCTTCCTTACAGAACAGCAAGTATAAGCCTAGTACTCTGGTTCAGGCCTGTAATCCTAGCTCCTTAGGAGGCTGAGATCTGAGAACTGCAGTTTAAAGCCAACCTGGGCAAAAAAGTCTTTGAGGCTTATCTCCAATTAGCTACCTATAATCTAGAAGCAGAGCTGTGGCACAAAGTGGTGGAGAGCTAGCCTTGAGCATAAAAGTTCAGGAACAGTACCTAGACCCTGAGTCAAGCCCCACAGCCAAAAAAATTAAAAAGAGATCACATAGTACTAAGATGTGTGTATGTGTGTGAGCACATGTGCACTCAGGTCCCAGGGCCTGACACTGTTCCTGAACGATTTTGCTCAGGGCTAGCACTCTTCCACTTGAGCCACAGCTCTACTTTTGGCTTTTTTGGGCAGTTAATTGGACATAAGAGTCTCACAAACTTTGCTACCTAGACTGGATTTGAACCTCAATCCTTTAGATCTCAGCCTTCTGAGTAGCTAGAATTACAGGCATGAGCTACCAGTACCTGGCTACACCAGGATGTGTTAGAGCAGGACAAATCACTTCCATTTGGGGACAGGGAAGAAAATGATAAAAGGTAGTTTAATATTGAGGTATGATAGAAACAAAGCAAACAGGGAAACAGCCTCATTATGAGTCACACAAAATAAAGGAGGACACACTACCTGAAGCAAGGTTGAGAAATAAGGAATGTGTGCAAAGTTCTTTGGTTCTCAACTTTTCACCATACACATAACAGTGTTGCTCAAGATTAGCAAACACATTTCTAAGGGCATTCGCTTCTTTTCCAATATACAGGCAAACAAAATAAAGAATCTTTTTTTTTTTTTTTTTTGGATCATGAGGCTTGAACTCAGGGCCTAGGCACTGTCCCTAACCTTTTTTGCTCAAGTTTACTACTCTACCACTTTGATCTGTAGCTCCACTTCCCAAAATACACAATCATTCTGGCAAACCACCAATTACTGTTGATATACAGGCCAGTTTTGGCTTTGGTAGTAAGAACAACTTTCCACTTAAGGTGAGGATTTCTCACAGACTTGGGGACTGCAATATTAGCAAGAGCTTGATGAGTGGTATGTGGGAATTAATTACGAAGCTCAAAAGGCAGGCTGAACTCAGACTCACTATTCAATTTTTATACTTCATCAGATGTGATGATGATTGCCTGTAATTCCAGCTACTTGGGAGGCTGAGACAGGACGACTGCTTGAGAACATAAGTTTGAGGCCAGCCTGCAAAAGATTGTGAGACCATCTTAAAAAAGAAAAAAAAAGTGGGTGCTGGTGGCTCACATCTGTAATCCTAGCTACTCAGGAGGCTGAGATCTGAGGATCTCGGTTCAAAGCCAGGCGGGGCAGAAAAGTCCAGGAGACTTTCATCTGCAATTGACCACCAAAAAAAAGCTGGAAGCGTAGCTGTGGGTCAAGTGGTAGAGCACCAGGTTTGAGCAAGAAAGCTCAGGCCCTGAGTTCAAGCCCCCAGTAATGGCACCCTCCCATCATGCCCCTCCTCACAAAAAAAGAAAGGAAAGGGCCATACAATTAGGACAGTTTAGCAATAAGGAAAACAAGGCACTTCAAAAGAAATTAAGTGGTGAGAGACATTTTTGCATAAATAATTTATGATTATTATGTTAAAGTCAAGTAAGCAGATAAGAATTTATTGTTAGGCTGGGCACCGGTGGCTTGCACCTGTAATCCTAACTACTCAGGAGGCTGAGAGCTGAGAATCATGGTTCAAAGCCAGTTGGGGCAGGAAAGTCTGTGGGCCTCTTATCTCCAATTAAAAAAAAAAAAAGCAAGGGGCGGGGAAGGTGGCTCAGTGGTAGAGTGCTTGCCTTGCATGCATGAGGCCCTGGGTTCAATTCCTCAGCACCACATAAGCAAAAAGAAAAAAGCC